TCAGTTTAATGGGCTCAATTTCTACAGGCCTTATATCTAACAAAATAGTGTTTCTTGAAAAAGCCCTCCAATTTTACTTTATTATTTCAGATCCCTTTAATTTAAACAAAATTACAGTCTCAGACCAAAATATTTCAGAGATTACGCATTCAAAACCAGAAAGGCGGAGAGAGAAACAGCAGAAAAAGGGTCGAATATGGGGAAAGATCTGAGCGACGATCAGGTGTCATCAATGAAAGAGGCCTTCACGCTTTTCGACACCGACGGCGATGGAAAGATTGCCCCGATGGAGCTCGGGATCCTAATGCGTTCACTCGGCGGGAACCCGACCCAGGCTCAACTCAAATCCATAATTTCCGAAGAAAAACTCAATTCCCCGTTTGATTTCCCGCGATTCCTCGACCTCATGTCCAAGCACTTGAAGCCGGAGCCTTTTGACCGCCAGCTCCGTGACGCGTTCAAGGTGCTGGACAAGGATGGGACCGGCTACGTCGTCGTTTCGGATCTCAGACATATTTTGACTAGTATTGGAGAGAAACTGGAGCCTGCGGAGTTCGATGAGTGGATCCGCGAGGTAGATGTTGGATCCGATGGCAAGATCCGGTATGAGGACTTCATCGCTCGCATGGTCGCCAAGTGAAATGGTGAGCTTGTGCATTTTGAATTTTAATGTATTTGCTACCTTTATGGTTTCTTTAATTTCCCTTTTTGGCGCTTGTTTTAGTAATCATTTATTCTACTGACAATGGATTTGTTATTAGCTTTTCCTGTTTCAGGGTTAATTTATTATTTTCTCGCAATAGAGTGCTTGTATTAACGTGAATGAGATATGGTGAATTGTGTGTAGATGTTAGGTGATAACTATAGACCTATTTTGGATTATGAGTTATTATTAACTGGGATCTATAGGAGAAATTACTGGTTACAATAAAGTGATAATTGTGGATAATTAATAATACATGAGAATTGGATGCAATTTTACCTTCGGAAATTGACTAATTGAGTTTTAAGTTGGATGATCATGGAACAAAAATGATGCTTTTGGTACTTGACTAATTTGAAACAAAATAAGAAATTCTTGTTGCACTTGTGAGTGCAAGGACAGACCACCATGCAGTGTATTAACAGAAAGTCTGTAATGGACGAATTTGCAAGTGCATCATAACCGCAAAGGGTGCTTGACTAATTTGAAACAAAATAAGAAATTCTTGTTGCACTCGTAAGTGCAAGGACAGACCACTGTGCAGGGTATAAATAGCAAGTCTGTAATGGATGAATTTTCAAGTGCATCATAACCGCAAAGGGTAAAAGGCTTTACCAAATTTACCGAGGTATATGTACACCCAAGCTTCCCTGTATTTTGCCAACTTTCTGTTGGCTCCAAGTATTGTCACTGTGGCGAGAGGGTTGTGAGCACGGTCAATCAAAGTTCTGAGGTGTATCTATAAATAGAAGTGGAAGCTAGAAATTCTTCTTCTTCTTTGTGAACGTACATGGACATAAGAAGAAAACTGAGAATGAAGAAAAAGAAAGGTCATTTTCTTTTCCCCTTAGCAGATAGGAAGCCATACAATTGCTAGCACCTGTAAAGAAAAGGAGAGAAATGTTAGCATTATATTTTTTCTAGTTTCTTCGTATCCCCCCTCCCTGTACTATTCTAAATTGTGGAAGGAGCACTATTGTGCTGGTGGAGGAAGTCACACATCCTTTCTCTCTCTCTCCTTGAGAACGTTCAAACATATTATTTTGCTCTACCCTTCATTTATTTCAAATACCTATTAAGCAGATTTTCAGTCATGAAGCCTCTAACTGGTATCTTGGCTGGACAATCTCAATTTTTTGTTATCTGGCATTTCATTATTCATAACTCTTAATTTTACTTTAAAATTTTGTTTTATAAAGCTCCGTGCGGAACTTGTGGATCCACAATGTATATGTTGCACGATCCTTTTCTCAATCATGTGACTATGTTATGTGAAGCAAGAATAACGTTCTCCTTAAGACCGGTGCAAGCGTATGTTGCATTTGGACGTTAATGGAACAACATATTGGTATAGATAGCTTGGAGAAGGAAAAAATAATCATCTCTTGTAGCAAATAATCATTTTGAATTAATTGTTGTGATTTTATCTCCTGTCCAAATTGGATATTTACCTCCAAAAGGTGAAAGTGACCATCTGAAACCCCCTCATTTTTTCCTTTTGCCTATTTAAATTGTAGCAGCAAGCTGCAACATTTTGTTACTAACATGTTGAATATTTGGTTACAATGGATGGTTGACGTTTATTGCAATAGTGCAACTCAAGCTTCTGTATTGTCTATTGTACTACATAGTTGCTTCATAACATTATAGATGATGAAATTTTTGCTTGCTGCCAAATGTTGGTCTATGATTCAGATGTTCAAAATGTCTTCTCGGAGGCATTGACTTTTTGATATGTATGTCCTTCATTTGCTAGGCCCCGCCTATCCTAACCTACTAACCTTAAATCTATGGGAAAATTGGGTATACAGTGCAAATCAAATTTTCTCTTATCAAATGGACTCTTGGACCCTACTGTTTCATCTAGATTAATATTGGAAGATCCTGTAGCAGGATTTTTGATATTTTTCTAACCTATTAGGATAACTTGAATTGGAAATATTCGAGATTTATGAGGGATCTGTTATTGGTTATTCCCGTCTTCTAGTGTGAAATTCAGTTTGCCTATCTTCACCACCCTTTTGGCATGTTTGGCTGGAGGGTTGCATTGCTCTCAACAGTATCAAGAAACATATGATTCACAATAGTGTCTAGTCTTATTTAGTATTCCATACCAAACATGCACTTATTTCTTTAAATTTAGTTAGACCAATTTATGAAATACTTGATTGAAGCGTAAAATAGTTTTTTTTTTGCAGGTAACCCGGAAGTGCTGTCTGTATTGTGCATTCGTTCTCATTAAGCAAGAACCTGATCTACTTTTACAGTAGGCTTTAATTTGGCATTCTGAAGTGCATTTTCAACTGTCTTGTAGTTTTTTGCATGTTTTGGCAGTTTGAATGGGCAACGTGTTTGGTTTCAGGGCTTTTTAAAAATTGATCATCTAGGATTTAGAAGTACTTGTGTGTATAGTTGAGCTGTACACAAACCTAAAGATTAATGCTTTCTGTTTCTTGATCTAGTGTTTTCTCATTGATAGGGCCAGGCATTACCCCTGCTATTTATACAAGTTGTACTACCATAGAATGCGACTTCATAGAGATGCACATAACTCAAACGTACAAAGTTAGATTAAAACGTTAAACAATGACATTGTTTGAAGTGAAGCATGTGCGAATGTACCTGATTGATAGAATAATTTATGCCTCACGGCTCACATTAACACGTATATTTTTCTTTTGCTGTTGAATAATTCCCAAAGGGAAACCAGCAATATTTTATATTTAACCTAAATTTAATTTACTTGATTAATGGTTTAATCACAAAATCAAAATGAATGTTAAAAATTCAATCATGTTTCTAGGCCATGATGGGGAAAAGCTATGATACAAAACGAATTTTCTTTTGAAAAGAGTTTCTTTGAGCCACAATCACGTTCAAGAGAAACTTAGTCGACTCGAATTGATAAAGACTAGAGAAATTTTTTAACCAGTTATTCCAAAATCTTGTCAATTTATTTGAGAATACTGGTATCACTATGTTCCATAATGTATAGTACAACAAATGATTATTACGTCCCTCCCTCCAAAACCCCCCACACTCAAAATGAGAAAAAACACAGAAATGTATGCGCCAGTTTCGTTCTATTTATGTCATTTCTGTACTGTATTATGGCCCAAGCCCAGTTAACTTTTAAGTCGATGCTCATGTTTGAACACCATTTTACTCAAAACCAAACTTTTGTCATTACGAAATAAATATTCAAGATTTACTATGTGATTTTTATAATCAAAGTATTTTGAAAAATACTATATACCCAATGTAGACTCCATATATACTTTACATTGTAACTGAAATTAATTTTAATTACTGCAGTATTAAGCTGATCATTTATTGTTGTTTCTAAACCATTTCAGATTTCAAAAAAACTTTATTGGCCCAATCGTAAAACATTCTTTTCAATAAAAAACAATCATCGCTTTTTTCCCCCTGAATCCATCCAATATGAATGTTCCCTTGTTGCAGAAGCACATAATTTTTCCTTTTAGACTCAATAATTTTCTGATTTACGATTTAGTAATTCATCTAGATACGCATAATTTGTAGAAACACATGTTCATATGCCATCTATTATGATTTATAAAGTTTTGATAAGTAGCGTGTTTGATGGCACATGTATAGCTCACAAATGATTATTAAGTATGCTGGGTGTGGGTTGGATTGCATTGGTTTTGAGTTCAATCCAAACTCAATCCATCATGTTCGGTTTGTCAATAATTCGAACTGAAACCAATCCATTCACGGTCGAAATCCAACCCAACCAAAATCGTTCGAACTTGTTGGTTTGGTTTGGGTTGATCGATTTGGACTTGAGTCCAATTCAAGTAAATCATGTTATTTTTTTGTTGGACAATTTTTTTGTGGACCGAACGGTTAGACCTATTTCGTTGAATTTGAACATTTTTTAAAAAAATTGAATCCATTTCAATTTGGACCAATTTTGGTTACGTTAAAAATGGCGATTTGAAAGACTTTAAATTGATTGAGGTTGGATCAATAGTCTGTGGTGTCAAGTTATACTCCAATAAAACAATATGAAATTAAAAATATTGTAAAACTTGTTAATTAGATTATGCTCCTATTTGAGCCACATAATTCACATTCTCATTTTTCTACTCATTTTCAACAACACTATTCAATAAAGTAATATTTTTTATCATATCAATAATTTTTTATTCCTTTTAACCACACATTCTCCATCAATCTACTATTCCAAAATATATTATTCCAAAATAATATGGCTCAAACACTCCCTATACCATTATCAAATCAAATACATGTTAAATCAATCTAAATACACGAAATATTCAGCAAAACTACCTTGTAATTGAGAATCTTCTCTTTCAATTCAAGCGTTTAATGTAAAATCACATCGAAAAATTGAATCGAAAGGTTGGGACACAAGCAGCAACAAGAGGCAGAAAAAAATTTGATTATTAAGCATTAGGTTTTTAGTTTTTGAGTTCTCTTAGGGCCACTAAGGTGAGTATTTGGCCATAAATTTCATGATCCTGTGGGATTAGTCGAGGTGGGCGTAAGTTGGCCAGGACATCCACGATTATATAAAAAAAAAAAATTTGAGTACTATTTTTTAAAATAATTTATTAGGTCGGGTCAAGTCAGGTTAGGTTTTAATGGATAACTCGGAACCCGACCCAACTTGACCTAAAATTTGATTTCCTAATCCAAACTCAAGTAAGTTGAACTAAAAATCCAACCAAAATTGGTTGGTTTGGATTGGGTCGATCAGTTTGACCGGTTTGAATTGATTTTTATCTAGCCTTAGGTGTTATTTCCTCAAATTCCATTATTCTTTTTTTTTTTNGTCGGCCCGCGATCCCGGTTTTCACGGGCCGGTTTTCAGGGTCATGGCTGGCCCGTCCGTCTTGACACCTCTACCCCTATTTGAGCCACATAATTCACATTCTCATTTTTCTACTCATTTTCAACAACACTATTCAATAAAGTAATATTTTTCATCATATCAATAATTTTTTATTCCTTTTAACCACACATTCTCCATCAATCTACTATTCCAAAATATATTCTTCCAAAATAATATGGCTCAAACACTCCCTATACCATTATCAAATCAAATACATGTTAAATCAATCTAAATACACGATATATTCAGCAAAACTACCTTGTAATTGAGAATCTTCTCTTTCAATTCAAGCATTTAATGTAAAATCACATCAAAAAATTGAATCGAAAGGCTGGGACACAAGCAGCAACAAGAGGCAGAAAAAAATTTGATTATTAAGCATTAAGTTTTTAGTTTTTGAGTTCTCTTAGGGCCACTAAGGTGAGTATTTGGCCGTAAATTTCATGATCCTGTGGGATTAGTCGAGGTGGGCGTAAGTTGGCCCGAACATCTACGATTATATATATAAAAAAATTTGAGTACTATTTTTTAAAATAATTTATTAGGTCGGGTCAAGTCAGGTTAGGTTTTAATGGATAACTCGGAACCCGACCCAACTCGACCTAAAATTTGATTTCCTAATCCAAACTCAAGTAAGTTGAACTAAAAATCCAACCAAAATTGGTTGGTTTGGATTGGGTCGATCGGTTTGACCGGTTTGAATTGATTTTTATCTAGCCTTAGGTGTTATTTCCTCAAATTCCATTATTCTTTTTTTTTTTAAATCACACATGTTTCAATAAAATAATATTATGTCCCTATTTGACAATCATTATTTGAAAACTCTTTTTTTATATACCTATTTTTAATCATACATTTACACAATAAAATAGTTTGGACGTAAATTTAAATTTTTTCTTATTTTTTAACTACATTATTCTGAAAATTATTATTCAAAACATTATTTGACCAAATAATGGCTATCAAACATGGGCTACATGTAAATTCAAAAATTTTTATTATTTTTTAACCATAAATTTTTTTAAAAATCACTATTTTAAAATTCATTTTCTCAATTTTGAATTTTAGTGGAGTCCAAACTCCATAAAAAAATGTATTTTAGGAAAAAATATATTTTTGAATAGTAATATTTTCAAAAACTTGTAGTTAAAAATTAAGTAAAATTTTAAAGTTACATATAATATTATTTTATTGTATAATAAGTACTTAAACCAAAAAAAAAAAAAAGTATTTTTAAGAAATGAAGTCCATCCCCCATGGACTAAATACGCGGTATGCCGGATTGTGCCCAATGCAAAAAAAAAAAAAAAAGTACAAAAAAAAAAAAAAAAAAAAAAANTTCTGGCCGTAACAAAAAGCCCAGGGAATTGAACAATTTCTTGAATATACACGTGACTAGTCGTAGGACTCTCTCTTTCTTGCTCAGGGTTTCTGTGATTTGAGAAAAAAGAAAAGGAAAAGGATGGCGTACGCAGCGATGAAGCCGACAAAACCAGGGCTGGAGGATCCACAGGAGCAAATTCACAAGATACGTATCACTCTCTCTTCCAAAAACGTGAAGAATCTCGAAAAAGGTTTTTCTTTTGTTTATATTATGGATGAAATAGATTGAGTTGGGTTTTGTTTCAACGTGATTACTTGCGTTTGTCGTTTTGTTTGGATGCACTACTATATTTAGTAGAAATTTTTTATGCCTATTAATTAACTGATATCTAATGTACTTAAAGTAAGTATAATTCTGTTCAATTACAATCTTATTATTAAGAGAAAAGTTCATATTACTATTTCATTGTTTTCCCTAATCATGTGTATTTTATATTTTCTTTGTTCAAATTTGGCTTTGAACCTTTGACATTATATTATTTCATTTAAATATCGACGTCTCAATTGCTGGTTCTTGAATGGATGAGGATGAAGCAATTTTTATATCTCCAATCAGGCTGAGATTGGAACTGAAGTGATGATTAAATCATAGTATGACTTATTTATTTGGGTTTTGCTATTTGTCAGATACCCCGGTGTACACCGCCCACGATAGGGGAGGCCCGCGACCAATAAAAAATCGTGGGCCCCCTATTGTGAGGGGGGCTGTAAGGTGTACACATAGCAAAACCCAATTTATTCTGCAACATCCAAAGTGTATTGCAAAGGCACGATTTTTCCAACAATGCATGGTTTTGTCCAGTTGGACATAAGAACAATGCACTAATGGTTTTTCTAGTCTGCATCACCGTTTCCTTTAGACATGTCAATTTTTTGCTCGATTCAAAGATCTAGGTGGGCAGAGTGACCTAACTGGAATGAAAAGAAACTTAAATGGCTAATTTGGAAGAAACAAGTTTGGGGATTCCAACGACTTTGCATAAAGTTTGTTGGAAAGAAAATGGAATCATGCAATGCTCATTTATAAAATGATGGATTATATGGTGATAGGTGAGAAATACTGTAATAAGTCACATTGTGCACAAGGTGCGTGTATGTAGTTAGTCAAGAGCTATAGAAAGCTGGGTTTTCTCCATTTTTCATTCCATCAGGTCATTGTTCTTTTAACATTTCAATTAAATAGAGTTTCGTCTGATTTTTTTTTTCATGATCTGATCTTTTCAACAGTGTGTGCGGATTTGGTTCGCGGTGCAAAGGACAAGATGCTCAGGGTCAAGGGACCAGTTAGGATGCCCACCAAGGTTCTTCATATCACCACACGGAAATCCCCTTGTGGTGAAGGTATTAATTCTGGCATAACCAGTAAAATATGATTTAGTTAGTGCCAAACTTTCTATCTTAGTGCATTAGCTAAAAAAAATACTCAGAACGCTCGAATAAAGCTGTCTGTGTCTTCGCTGAAAATGTTTTGTGTCTATCTTTGGGAATACCTATGTTTAGAAGTTGTCATTATATAATTGTCAATTGTTAGCACCTGATTAGTGAATTCCTTGTGCATAATATTTTACATGATTATTCCTTGCACGCGAGTCACCTTTTGATTGAGAGCCTGAGACAGTCTACTTGATGTAATTGACATTGATATATCATGGCTTGAAGTATTTCATTATTTGATCTGCAGGAACCAATACGTGGGATAGGTTTGAGCTTCGTGTTCACAAGCGTGTGATTGACCTGTTCAGCTCCCCAGATGTGGTTAAACAAATCACCTCAATCACAATTGAACCCGGTGTAGAGGTTGAGGTTACAATTGCCGATTCTTAGATTTGCCTCAGCCATATTCTATCTTCATAAGTTTTAAAACCTTTTTCTTTATTCTGTCCTGGTTGGGGGTTTGGAATTTGCATTTTGAATGGGCTCAAGGTTTGTAGCAACGATGCTGTCAGAGTTGTTTTACTACAGGTTTGAAGGTCAAAGACTAGTGCTTCGAGAAGCAGAATACTGTTATGTATGATTTACAATTGTATTCTTTGTCAAATGGGCTTGATTCTTGTAATGCTGCCTTATTTTGGTTATGGTTATGTTCTTTACCGGTATTTATTTCCAGCAGAAATAGTTGTGAATATCTTTATTTACCAGGAGCTTATTATCTCTGCTATCATTACTAATCTAAAGAATCTTAACGTAGCATCAGCTCACTGAATTCGAATTGCTACATCCAAGTAAATATGTTTGGTAACTGCGAGGAGTCGATGCTCAAAATGTTTACTAGTCCACTACTTGTTGGTTGTGCATCATGCACCTTATTCCCTCAGTTGGGAGGCTTTGGAGATTTTCATGCGAGATTCCTGAGTTGTCGAGCAAGGGTGGGGGATGGAAGTTAACTAACAAGTAACAACAGGGAGAGTGCAAACTTGCACGACAGTGGTTGGGGGTAAGGGTGAAGGGAAGGGCAACAAAGGCAGTAGCTGCTGGGAGTGGGTTGGTGGGTGTTAGGAGGAAGATGACAATTTTGAAGATCCTTTTGTTGGCTAGAATCAGTTATTTTGAATGAAGTTTAGATTTTGTGGAACCATACATGGAATATTTGATAGGGAAAATGCTGAAGTGCAAGAAGAAAAATGACCAAAGCTTTGACACCCTCTCACATGTTTCGGGCGCCACATGAATAAAAAATTGCAAAAAAAAAGTGGACCCCCACCCCCTATTGTGAGGATCGGTCAGTGCTTCTGTCCATTTTTTTCTGGTACTGATCGTCCATTTGATAGTACATTCTGTACCCTTAAAAAATATAATACCTAATCCTTGTTTATCAATTATATATTGTGTAACCAAACTAAAATAAGCATGTCGATTAAAATTTAGATTTTTATTAAAATTAAAGTTAGTAATTAATTTTAAATAAATATTTGGATTCATAACTTTTTAAACACACATTTTATCAATCAAAATTTACTAAAAAATTAATTTTAATTCATACCAAATAGGGGTTAAATTCTTTAGAGTTTAGATACAATCAAAAATTTAGATTTACGTGGAATCTTCCCCTGATAAAAGAAGAGACCTCGACGGAATTGCTATATATGAAATTGAGCACAATTTTGTAACGAAATATTCCAATATTTTTCGAGAAGGGGTGGAAAACATCTTCGGTATATAATTTGATGACAGCCCCTTGTTTCAAGATATCTCCATTAAATTTTTTTTTCTTCACGAATAGCAACTTTTTTCACTAAGATTTCAAATAATGATTTCGAATTCAAATTGATTTTATTTAACCTCTTTATCAGAGAATGACAATTTAGAATAATCAATTATAATCCTTGCAGAATAGATCATTCATCAATAAGAAACTCCAATTATTTGATATATTTCTCTTTGAAGAAGCTCTTAATTCAATTAAGGGTTTTATTCGATATCTTACAAATAGAATTTGTATTTTCTTCGATCAATTTCCTCCTCTATTTTTTAGTTATTGAAAGAACTATATACTGTTTCAGATTCAGGAAATAACTCACACATCTTTTTTTTTTTTTTTATAAAGTCATTCAAGATATAAAACGAGAAAAGAAGGGTTAATTGGCAAGACACAAACGCAGAGGGAGAGAGAGAGAGAGAGAGAGAGAGAGAGAGAGAGATTTGGATTTCTACTCGGATACCCAAAACATGACATGCATCTATACAATCTCTTCATGCACCCTCCACTCTTCTTTAAACAAGAACACCACAAGAAAACAAAACAAAAAACACAAACAAAACCCAAAATCAAAACCCCAATTTCCCAAATCATCCCCAACGCCACTCCTAACCACCCTAAATATCCAGTCACACACAAAACTCGAAGCCCTTGAAATTGTCATTAAAAAATTAGAAGCCTCTGTCAAAAATGGCGTCGAAATCAATGATCCCCATATCTTTGCTTCCCTTTTGGAAACCTGCTTTCATTTAAAAGCCACCGATCATGGCAGTAAGATTCATGAACTCATTCCAGAAAGACTTTTGCGTAAAAATGTGGGCATTTCATCCAAGCTTCTTAGGTTGTACTCATGTAGTGGGGACGTTGAGAAGGCCCACAAGGTGTTCGATCAAATGCCTAAGAGAAATGATTCGACTTTTCCGTGGAATTCACTTATATCGGGTTATGCTGAGGTGGGCTTTTACGAAGATGCATTGGCATTGTATTTTCAGATGGTGGAAGAGGAAGTGGAGCCTGATGCGTACACATTTCCACGGGCTCTGAAGGCTTGTGGAGGTGTTGGAATGATTCAAGCTGGGGAGGAAGTTCATCGTCATGTGATTCGCTCTGGATGTGGGAGCAATAAGTTTGTGCAAAATGCACTGCTGGATATGTATGCCAAGTGTGGTGACATTAGCAAGGCTCGAAAAGTTTTTGATACAATTGTGGACAAGGACCTGGTTTCATGGAATTCTATGATTATTGGGTACATAAGGCATAATCTTACGGTTGAGGCATTGGACTTACTAAGTGGGATGACGCAGGAGGGATGTGAACCTGATTCAATTACCATATCAGCATTTCTTACCAGCATGTTACCCTATAAAATTGGAATTCAAATTCATGGATTAGCTTTGCGTCGAGGAATTGAGTGGAATATATCTGTTTCTAACTCATTGATTGTTTTCTACTCGAAGCATAATAAACTGGAGCTAGTAAGACGGTTGTTTCTGTGCATGCCACAAAGGGATACCGTGTCATGGAATTCAATAATTTCAGCACATGCTAAGGAACCTATTGCCCTAGATTACTTCCAACAGATGTTGAAATCTTGCGCTTTGCCTAACAGTATTACATTTGTCTCATTGTTGTCAGCTTGTGCTCACTTGGGCATGGTGAAGGATGGCGAGAGATTGTTTTCGATGATGAGGGAGAGGTATGGAATTAGTCCAATTATGGAACACTATGCTTGTATGGTTAATCTTTATGGAAGGGCAGGATTGCTTGATGAAGCTTTTGACATTATAGTGAACAAAATGGAGTTTGAAGCTGGTCCTACTGTTTGGGGAGCTTTGCTCTATGGTTGCTACCTTCACAATAATGTGGATATTGGAGAGACTGCTGCCACAAGTCTATTCGAGTTGGAACCGGATAACGAGCACAACTTTGAGCTTTTAATCAGGATTTATCGTAATGCAGGCCGTTCTAAGGATGTAGAAAGAATAAGATTGATGATGTTTGAAAGAGGGCTTGACCTGTAGATGCAAAAATGTTATAGCAATGACTAATGGTTCATTTCGCGTTGCTATGGAGATGAAGGTACACTTGTGTTAGTCCTGGCAGAACCAGTTATCAGGAAATGTGGATTTCAATTCGTGATGGCTTCTGAAAAAGACGAGGTATAGGAGTTGCATATCCTCTGCCGTCATGGATCGTAATTCTGTACAAGTGCATCCTTCCTGGTTCTTGTTACTGAAAGTAAGCTTATACTGAGAAGTCACACAATATGGTGTAGAAGATCAATTTACATAACTGTGTTCTTAAGATGAGATGGGTTGGGTTGCTGCATTTGCATTTTGATCAATGAATAAAGGGAAGGGCTTTTGTATCCTTAAATTGAAATTATCATGTCCCATTCAAGATATTTGTTTTCCTTTTTTCTTGTGAATTGCTTGGTAATCTAAGCAAAATGCAGCATATTATACAGTATTTCACATGGCATACACATGACACAAGAAAAGGTACATTCAACGTGAGTGTACGTTCCTCGGCCAAGTTCAAACTATGAAATTCATCTAATTCTTTTTATTTTAACATCAAATTTGTTTTAACTTGACGATCAAAGTGCATTCAACCGTCGTAACCCATCTTTCTTGAGGGTCGTCAAGTTGTCTGAAGAAGTCCCACTTTCCAAACTTGTGTTCTGGACTAGAATCTGATTCATAGCAGCTCCCAAATTTTAAAGTTAAAATTATTGGATACTTGGAGAATTAAATTATTGGAGGGATCTTGATTGGAGGACCCCGTGTCAATTACCACTCATCAGCACAATCTTTTCAGCGATACAATATGATCTTCTCACTGGTGCGACTCGTAATTGTAATACTATTTACTTTTTAAATTAATTTCTTTCAAATTAAATCGTTATTTTTTTATATCTCGACTATCGTAACATTTTTATTGTAGACACAAGGGACATAATTTTAACAAACGATCGATGTATCTCTTTGCAAATGTAAATTAAGGTCACATTTTTTGTTTTCAGACAAATGAAAACTTATTTTTCCTAAGGTATTTATTTTATTTTCAACTAATTTTCCAAAGTATATTATCGATCATTTATACATAATTTACACATTTAGACGTCGGCCTTTTCAACTTATTTAGACAGATACACAGTGTCCTAAAATGCTAAAAGGTCGAAAAGAGTCACTTTCCAAGTGGGAGTCCATACATACACTCCTCACATTGAAAACTTCATTAAATTTCACATGGAGAAGAGTCGGTGTCGGTAGCAAAATGTCAAAAGAATTATGATATTTTAAGCTCACCTTTGACAACTATGGTTTGAGAAACTCTTTTTTTTAATAAAATATTATACACATAAATTCAAAAATTTTTCACTTTTTTTTAACCACACATTTTTCAAAGAATCACTATTTAAAACTTTATTCTACCTAAATAATGCTTGTCAAACATGGCTAAATTTACATCAATCATGGTACATGTACATTCTACTTGACATCATGGTTGACATTTCTTTCACATGGCACAATCACCTTATTTGATTTCTTCAACATTTGACATCACTGTCCAAATTGTGCCACGTGAGGGAATGTCAATCAAAATGTAAACAAAAATGTATATCGAGCGTTATTGAATTTACATTCCCTATAAGAAATACCTGTACAAAAATGTGACCGAGCTAGTCCAACTTTCATAACAATCGCCTTGAATTAATGCATGATTGGTTATTATCTACATAGTTCATACACATCTGGCAAGTTTGAATAGATCAAAGCTTGTAGTGTCCAAAATACACGTGATAGGCCATTCAAGAATTCGTTGGCCTCTATAAATATAGACTTTTACAGGTCACATTCGTGTCGTATTAAAAACAATGTCAAATCCTACTCTTACATTGTCACTAATCTTCCTCTCCCTTTTGTTCATTCCAAGTAAGAGCGAGTCCATCACTGCAGCCAATAATTTCATCAAGTCTTCATGCAGCGCCACCACTTATCCAGCCGTATGCATCCGATCCTTGTCAATTTACGCCTCGACCGTCCAACGAAGCCCACGCCAGTTGGCCACAACAGCTTTGTCCGTCAGCCTAGAGACGGCTCAATCTGCTACGACATTTCTGACCAAGCTCACCAAATTTAAGGGATTAAAACCTAGAGAGTACGCCGCCCTCAAGGACTGCATTGAGGAGGTGAGTGATGGATTGGACCGGTTAAGCAAATCGGTCCGGGAGCTCAAGACCATGGGCGGGGCCCGTGGTAAAGACTTCATATGGCACATGAGCAACGTTGAGACTTGGGTTAGTGCTGCACTAACTGATGATAACACTTGCATGGATGGATTTTCGGGCCGGGCCTTGAATGGTAGGATTAAGTCTTCTGTTAGGGCACAGATGACTAATCTGGCTCAGGTCACCAGCAATGCATTGGCACTATGCAATCATTTTGCTGCATAGTGTTAAATGATAAATATACTATGGAGCAAGTTTAGTTAAGCTTAAAACCTTTACTTATAGGTAAGTTTACTTATAAGTAAATAAGTAACTTTTTATTGCTAAAAATTAGAAAAATATTAAGTATTTATTCAAAGTAAAGTTTGATGTTTCCGTTATAAAGTAAAACCATGTTGTATCCATAATCCATGTACCATTGCTTCGATTTTTCAGGTACATTATGCTTGTATCTTCTCTTCCACCATTTAGAGCCCAGCAAATTAGAAATAGAAAATTGATCATCATACAATATTTTCAAAAATGGAAGGAGACAGAGACCTTTATTCACTCTTATACTATGTTGAACCACCTTAATTAGTATTCAAATCACGGGATGTATTCCTAACTCGACTCCATGTATGCAAGTGGGTAATGAACTGATGATAGTCAAGATTCAGACACCATGTGTTTTGGTCCCAATGAAAATATATAAGCAAGCTTTGAAATGTTGAAATTAAACAGCAGACAAAGATGACCTCTACCAGCACATTAATATGGAAACCTAACACGTGCAACAGACTTTAAGAGGTGCGAAGTGGTTTGTCCCAATCTAACAAAATAAAGTTTTGCACTTCCATTGGTGCTAACTAATAATGAACATCAAACACTTCTTTCAACATCAGTTAAGTTGCCATTCACTCATGAACCATTTGAAATTTGATCCTTCACTTTTTCTCTAGGTCTGAATGTAAAAACATTGATCAACGTGGCTCCATTCACAACAATAATTTGACACAGGATCCAGATAAAAAGCACAAGGCAAAAATTTCGAAAACGAAAGCATCCAGTGCAGGATTGAGATATTTTATTTTAGTAGGCCTATGGTCATATGTACACACAAGAAGAGGGAGTTCAACTGAATGTGATATGGACAAAACTGCTAAAAATGATATTAAAACAGAGCCATCCCTTTGTGAACACCGCACACAGCAGGAAGGAATAATCTTATCAGCAGCAGAAGTTACAAGTCTGTAACCCGTAGATCCAATCTAATTCTGATCTTCCAAGCAAAGCAAATATTGTCACTTTTAAAGAATTGCCCCATGACTAGAGGTCAAAAAGTGCGTCAAATTTTCGTAAGTTCGACACATTGTAATGGTAAATGTAAGCTTTATCCAACACTTCTTCTGTGGCCTGTAGTTCACACATGCACTCCATATGGATTATCTAATTTTCTTGTAAAGTATAGCAATTTGGGCTTTCTATCATCTACAGAGAGATCACCACACTCTTCGGCTACAAATGCTCTTATCTGTTATTATCAAATGTTTGCCAGTGAAAGTGATGTCAATTGTATTAAAGTAATCTTTAGATGATAGAGATGCCAAAAACAAGGCTACGTTATTCAGTAATTAAAATATTTAGTTCAAAGTATGATATAACCTTGAAAGTACTACTACTATTAAAAATGTGCTTGCAAAATAGTAAACTTGGTGCCATTACAATCAGCCTAGGCACATATGATCAAATCCTAAACTTAAAGCACGCGACAAATACCCACGTTTCTATACACAAGGACACATGGTGCAATCAAACATGTTAGCTATACTAGGTGCCAACAAGGGCATAAAACCATGCTGCACCAAAAATCCGAGGTATGTCTCAACAACAGCTCTAGCACCCCCAATAAAGCACCTTAAACATCAATGTATAGGGGCATAACAGAACGGAGTAGCAATTGTCCTCAAAGCATCAATTTACATCACAGTACAGCTTGCACCCTGATAAACGAGGAATGATATGTATCAATTTACATCGCACTATGAGTTTCATCGAACAATAAAGAGGTTTAGAGTATAAATAATATGTATCCAAAATAATTTTTTTATAGAGATTTGTTTCATTTTTTTGCACCCACGAGAGAGAACAAAAAAAAAAAGAAAACTGTACCTGATTATCACAGAGGGCGTTAAAGGGAGGATAATAGACGCCGCGGCGGGTATAGGGAGGATAATAAGGATAATAGCGGTTGACAACTCTGAAGGTGTCGTCTCCCATGCTCAGTCGGTCCTCTTGAATTTCCTCTGCCGAAGTAACAACGGAAGGGCTACAGTAAATCAATTCTACTAAATCAAGAGTTTGAATTTCTCCAATACCAAAAGGGATCTTCTCCAGACTTTTGCACCACTTAATGACTAATTGCCGAAGTTTCGGGAAGTGGATATTTTCAGCTCTCCACTGCTTCAGATCAAGTTCTTCAAGTAGTAGATATTTCAGTCGATCAAATTCCCCTTCAATTGGTTCCCACTCTGGGCCTTGGAAGGATCTCCTTTTCAATTTCAGCACTTGAAGATTGGACAGCGAACCAATAATCGTCATATCTTTCCAAGGAAGACAGCAACCCTTTAAACTTAACTTCCTCAGTGATGTCGGAAAAGTAAGGTTCTGAAGGAAAGACTGGGATGGTCTTGAAAATTCGAATTTTAATGATTCAAGCTTATGTAGACGGGCAAGATTATTTAGACGGTAATATCCCCAATCTAATGGTGCCTCTGGTGAAACAGAATAATAGACTCCTAATTTCTTTAAATTTGGAATTCTCTTTAGCACCGCCTCTGTACATCTGAAGTTTTCTAAGACCGATAGTGTTTGTAGGTTTTCTAGAACAGTATCAGAAATTTCTCCCTCAATTCTTGCCTTGGGAGGACAAGGAAGAGTGGTATGCCTCCCCAACTGGACATGCCTCAAGTGTTGCATCTTCCATATTTGTTGTGGTAGTTGAAATGACTTATTATCAGAATAAAGGATGATGGTTTGTAGATTCTGAAGTTTGTCTATTGATGCAAGATACCATCCCTCACTAAAAATGGCATTGATGTACCGCAAGTTAACTAGTTCTATTATTTCTTTCGGCCAAGCGAACATTTCATAGTGGATATACAATACTTTGAGTAGCTTAAAATAAATAAATTTTGTGTTTGGAAGCCAATAAAAATCTATAATTGACCGTGGTAATGGAGTAGATAATATTCTGACACGACGAAGAAAGTTTTTGTCTGGATGGATACTTACCCGGCGTCCACTTCCAATGCTTTTTCCTTGATGAATAACTGTACGGCGCAAACGTCTAATGTCTAATGGAGTTCCATGGCTGCTGATATGAAAAAAGTTTCCTCTTCTAGCTTCATCTGTGCACAAGTTCCTTAAAAGATCATGAATCTTGCACGTTTTTATTTTACCTCTGGAGCTCTCATCACAAACCATAACAAGACTTCTTTGTACAAGATCCAACAAGTATTCCTCTGCAGCATCTTCAAAAGTTTTAGAGCCCACGGACTTCACGAGTCCCTCAGCAATCCATAACTTGAAAACTACGGAGACAGGGATGTCAAAATCTTCTGGGAAAATTCCCATGTAGAGATAACAACCTTTCAAATGATGAGGCAAATTGTAATAACTCAAGTACAATATTTTTGAGCACTGCTCATCATTTGAAGTTATTGTGGAACTTACGTTTTCAGCAATCTTTTCCCATTCATGATGTGTTTTGGCGGCCTTTGAAAGGAGGCCCGCAATCACAACGATTGAGAGTGGAATTCCTCGACAATTTCTGCAAATATTCTTCCCGACATTTTCAAATTCAGGAGGGAAACTGTTTTCTCCAAACACGTTCTCACAAAATAAACTGCAACTTTCATCCTCGTTTAGAAAATGCATGTGATGAGGACAAGAGTTGGGATAATGAAGTCCAACTTGTTCAAGCCTAGTAGTCAGCATTATTCGGCTTCTGTTCTTGTCATTCGGAAATGATCGTTGTAATTCATCCAAAATCTTGTCATCCCACACATCATCCATCACAATTAGATATCTTTTTCCCTTCAGACTCTTGTATAGAATTTCTTTTAATCCCTCAGTGTTCTTTTCTTGCATCCCGTCAGTTTCTTTTTCACGCATTTCATCAGTTTCATTTTCATGCATCTTATCAGTGTTTCTTGTTATGGAATCTAAAAAGCTTAGTAGGATTTTTTGCACACTATAATCTTGAGACACTGTCACCCATGCACGAATATGAAAATGATATTTGATAAATGCATCATCATAAACTTTTTGAGCGAGAGTAGTCTTACCCATTCCGCCCATTCCAACAATGGAGACAGTTTCAAGGTGTGACGATTCTCTAAGCAGCCGAGTCTTGATGTCCATCAGGTCATTATCAAGGCCAACAATAAGTCTCTTTCCACCGAGAGCAGTTTTTGATGGCATCCAAGTCCTTGGCTGTTGATCTTCTACGACAATGTTGCCCTCAATCTTCATCACCTGATTCATTAATGAATCAATTTCTTCTTTTACTTTCTCCAAGTTAGAGCAGAACATTTTGAGGATCTTGTCCCTGTTAGTTGGGGATTCAGGAAGTCGATCCACAATATACGATTCAACTATATCTTCTGCTAGATGTGCTTCATCCCTTATTTGATTCTCCAAACATTCTATTGTTTCGCCGCTTTGTTGTGAACACTTTTCAAGAAAATCTTGGAAGGAAATGACCTTTTTGAGAAGAGACGCAATTTATTTTTTCACAGGACGATTCAGAAATGTATATTTCTGTTGAAGGTTTCGCTCTAGAACGTGCATAAGAGAAAGAAGAGCAGCATAAGCCATATCTGATGATTTGTTCTCAACTGTAACACCGAGAAAAAATAGCAGCAAAATATAAGCAAATAGCAATTTGCTCTTCCCAATTGAATTTCTTAAAGTACAGTCCGGCAATGTGGACGGGCTTCCCACCAAATTATATAAAAATATTGTATTACTCGACATCGAGGGTGAATGCTATCTTGTTTTATTTGCTATCCTAATCAAATTAGCTGTGGTTTATTTGTCATTTTCTAAGATGTGGTACACGCTACTAATAATGAATTAAGTTTAGATATGGATCTATTACAGAGTCAGAATCCTAAATAATAGAAGTATCATAATTAAACAAATAGAAACTCCAGTTCATAACAAATAGTAAATCCCTTAATATTCTATACGGTGATATAAACACTTCATTGCAACAATACTATTATATTGTAGTTTTAACCATAAAGATCCCATTGCTATGCCTGATAATCTTCATAACTATTACGAATTGAAAGAAAAGAGTTATGCACATAACAAATCTCCTTAGTACAGATTTTGCCTATGCACTTGTTCTAACAAATAATGAAGTACAGGCGCTCTCGAGGCTACTTTGTGCATACGCTAGCTTAAGGTGTAGTAACTAAACTATAACTTAAATGAATGAGAGAAACAATACAAAAAATTGTTCATCAAAGTTGGCTGGAAGCTGTCTTTAAAACCTGCGTTACATTACAACATTCTCATATCCAGTCCAGTACAAAAAAACAAAATTGCAATTTCATTATGGTGAATTGACTTAAAAGGAAGAAAGATTCTTGATTAGACCCAAAGCATTGCTAGTTAACTGAGCCACATTTACAATGTAATTTCTAATGGTGCCCTTAATTTTCCCATTCATAGCATTTTCTTCAAATCCATCCATGCAGGTATCTTCATCTGTCAATGCAGCACTAACCCAAGTCATAACATTGTTGATTTTCTTTTCAAATTCTGGCCCTTCTAAGTTCTTCATAGCTGCCAAAGATTGTCGGAGTTCGTCTACTGAATCCCTGGTGTTCTCCACACAATCCGTTATTGCACGTGCTTCTCGAGGAGCTAAATTGTTCATTTTGGACAGCTTTAACACGGCATCCAATGTCGACTGAGCAGCTTTCAGAGTGACAATGAGAGCGGCATTTGCCAATTTAGTTGGGTTCTTTTGGACGGAGCTAGCATAAGGTGAGAGAGTGTCCATACATAGTTTTGGGTACAATGTTACTTGACATGATGTTTTGATGAATTGTGTGTTGGCCTGCTGGTGGAGTATTTGAATCTTAGTGGCTGAGCATGTAATGGTGATAATGGTGGTGGCTACAAGGCAATAGAAGTAGAGTAGCTTTGAGGGAAGACAAGAGTCCATATCCAATACTATACTAAAGGGATGAGGGGATGGGGGTGAGTGGTGAAAAGGGTTCCTTATCCTATATTTATATACTGTTGGTCCTCCTTACACAACAATAATTGAATACAGGTTCCACAGATACAGAGCACAAGGTAAGAATTCCAAAGCAACCAGTGCAGAAACTGAAGATATTTTATTTTAGTAGGCTTATCATCATGGTTGTTTGTGGGCAAAGTGGAATTTAAAATGTGATGCTACCATAGTAGATAAAAGTTTCGAGTTCGAGTCCACCATTTCGGTGAAAAAATGAACTCATCCTTCACTCGAGGGTATGTTCAAGACTAAATTTAAACAGATAAATATATCTCAATTTTAACTATTTAAGCTTTTGAATGATGTTGTCAAATGTGGAATTCACCCTCATACTTACGACAAACAAAAAGGGAAAACTTAATGTGAAAAAGACAAGATCATAAAAAGGAACATGACAACTTCAATTAAAAGCCTAAAGCAGTTTCTTCAATGTGTAAATATGAACGTCCATTTGTACACACTGCAAGCATTCACACACAGCACAAGGAATAGTTTTCTCAGCAGCAGAAGCCACTATTCTGCATACAATCTAAATCTGATGGAGAATTCATTATTTTATCTCGTCTTCCAAGTCTAATATAAACACATATATTTGATGTTTTAATTCCCAAAATGTCCTAGATTGCCGACCTGTAATGGCAACTCGTGTCTGGCCTTGCTTCGGTGACCTGTGACTCACATGCAAGCATGACACGACTGTATTGTGCTAGACGTAGATGATTGCAGTCCACACGATTTGATAATAATTCATGTTTATTTGGGTACATGGCAGACTTGTTTTTAATTGAAAGAAAACTATAGACCAATACATGAACCAATCGACAGTAGAATATAGGACCCACACGCTACACCTTTTGAACTTGATTCCTAGATTTTTATCTCAATATTATGTGATTCGTCCGGGGCATTTGAGGATTCTTCTCTTCTCTTAATCTTTACCATACATATTTGAAGAACAGTGTGTTGCGAGACTTTAGTCCAAATTTAAGCTCGATTGGACCCAGGAGACTTTAGAGCTCGATCAAACTTCACCCTAGCTGCCCTGTTTTTTTGGTCTGATGTCAATTAATGACTCTCCTCGACCTACTTCACGTATTTTTTGAAACATAAAATTAAAAAAAAAAAAAAAATACTCTAATAAAGTAGTCGCCTAAAATAGTAAAAAAATGTTTGGCATACTACATCTTCTCTAACAGATTTTTAGATAATTCTGTTTATTCGAATAGGGCCAGGAGGGCATGTTTTGACTCTTCAATTCGATGGATTCAAGAGTTAGTATTCTCCAATACCAGAAGGGATCTCCTCTAAGTTATTGCGCATCATAAGGACTAGGCACTGAAGAATTGGGAAGTGGACATTGTCAGCTCTCCAAAGCTTCAAATTCATCTTTCCAACTAACAAAAATTTCAGTCGAAGAAATTCTCCTTCAATAGGTTCTCACTCGAGGCCTTTGAATGCATTTCGTTTCAATTCCAGCACTACTTATTGGTCTTCAATTCCGCTTGATGTGAAATTATTATCTGGTTCATATACATAAGTATGGTGCACTTCTTCTACATCAAAAGTTTGGGAATTGACATCAGTAATTTCATCCATGTCTACTTGATTGAGAGAGCTATCATTGTGCGCCAAAAGTTTCTCAATCTAACTTTGAAGTTAATCGAACGCATTGTAAATTGGCCGGTGGTCAATCTTGTTCGAATACAAGTTCTAACAAGTTACACTCTTAATTCTCCAATATTTTTTTTGAAAATCAATTGTGTGTCTTGGTTTTGTTTTCACAATTGCCCACCCGTCAAGTCTATCTCTAGCCTTTGAAGGGAAACTCGTGTAAGTATTCTTATTGAGACAAATACATTGCTTGAAACTAGTTTCTTGATATGATTAATTTCAAAATGGTTTAAATCGTGGATGCACATAACTCCACCCTCATTATCAAACAAATTGCACTTATTTCCATGCATGTTTCAGTTGTCAAAATATGATTTATGTACCAATTTTATCAACACAAGTTTATGAACCGATTAAACTAGTTTAAGGTATAAACTATGAATTATTTCTTCTGTATACCAACAATTTAAAACCGAAATTTGCAGAAAATACATTTGACTCCTTAAAGTGAAAAAAAATCCTAAAATTACAAGGGCTCTGGATTTAGCCCTAGGTTTTTTTGGAAGCCCATGTTTCTTTGAAAAAGTTTATGAATGTACGAAATTCAACCCAAATTACACTAAGAGGGAGGTGAATAGGTGTAAATGTGGAATTAATAAATTATAATAAATTAGCAACAAGTCACTAATTGATTATCTCTAGATGATTATGTTATTAATTCAATTAACATATGTTTGAATACCGCAAAATATAAAAAAGTAAACAAAACAATAAATAACGCACGGTATGATCACGGAGAAACCCCAAGTAAAAACTCCGGGCATTTTGTCAGTCAACAATTCACTATAAACGATTTATAACTTACAGTCTACCGACTAGACGACGATACGTACTATCTGATCTCTTGATCGCGATTCCAACAGCTCTCCTGAATTTTGTGCTCCTGCACTAATTCCCATCTGTAGATTCTAAAGCTATCCTGGATTGCGCTCCTGCAACAACTCCCAACTTTGTGAAATCATCCATCTCCAGTGAATTCACGAAGAACACCGTGTTCTTTAATGACTGGAACTCCTGTCACCTTCCTTTAATCTTCAGAAATTCTGACAGATATGAATGAAGCAGCAGTTTGGTATTTGGATTATGAAATTGATATTTTTCTCACCGTCAAGAACAAATCACTATGTGAATAATGAAGGTTGAAGAGTAATTGATGAAGAAAATATGAAAAATTAAGCGTTTGCTTAATGATCAACATTAGAAAAATCGTTCTGTGGTGTTTGATATTTATAAGTTAGATTAAGGAATGAATGGGTCGGACAAAAAACCTTTAAAAAATGAGTTAAAAAAATTTCTGGATAGAAAGGTCGCTTGAGCAAGGGATGAGTGACAGGTTGTCGCTCAAGCGAATGTGAGACGACAAACAGGCGACACAGTTTCTGTTTCTGACGCTTGAGCCAAACCTAGCGTTAAGCTAGCGATATTTCGACGCTTTTTTTCCTTCTTTTCCATTCTCGAACCTTATACCTAATATAATACAATTTTTTACTATTCACACATTACTCCTTGACTTTTACAACTTATCAATTTAAATAACTTTTGTTAACAGACTTGACAATTACATTAAATACCTAACAAGTTGGATTATAACTCGCGTCTAACTTTGTTAACTTGATATTCAAGCTTATTGGATTTTTTTTTTTTTTTTTGGGGGACACAACCATATACATAATTAAGATCAATGATCATAGTTTCATTGAATATAGACCTTTGATTTATCTAACCATAAAAACAGCTATTTCAATTTGTACAAAGAGAGGGTACGAGTCAACCCCCACAACATTAAGCAACACGAAGTCTTAAGAAAGGTATATATGATGGGCAGTGACAAAATCTTTGATGATCCCTAAAGTCTATGCGCAGACACACATGTGGTTGCTTACACATTAAACTTATGATTTTCGTTTGAAATAAACATCACTTGAATGATGAATCTCCCACCAGATTTTATCGGGTACGTAAGAATGAAATTCATAGGCATAGAAATAAGCTTTTTCAGATAAAGATTTGGATGGTTGATACGATATATAAGAAACGCTATTACATAAGCCTTTTACTTTGAAATATCGATTGCTTGTTGATCCTTGTGAATTGAATGAAAGTAAGATACATACTCCAAAATTCGAAAGTCGGGTTGTAGTTTCCAAGATATTACACGAATGCTTGGACCAAAAGCCATAGATAGTAAAATTAATTATTGGCAGCAGGATTTGCGTAATCTAAACTTGAGTGCACATGGCTAAACCCACTAATAAATGCATGTTCAGACATCTGTTTTAGTTAATTAGTAATTAAAAGATGGAATTTAGGCTCCTTACTTGAAGGGTACATTTACTGCTCTGTGTACTACTTAAGAATTAATTAAGCTCCTAATTAAATGATTAATTCACATTACAAGTAGCGGAAAATACTCATCGAATCGCTTTAGTTTTATCCTTTTATGTTGCTTAAGTTCATAAACTATGTCATTGCTGCCGCCAGCAGTTCACACTTCATTTGATTAATTTTCATCTAGTTTAGGGAAAATAGCACATGAGGTCCCAACATTTTACTTAAATGAGCATATTCGAGTTCCATCAAATTTTTGTTGATGGATTTGTCCATTAATTGATGACGCGACAATGAAAAATGGGGACCAAAAAAAAAGAAAATTAATCCTTAAATATGGAATGACTATATGAATATTTTCTTTTACAATTCTGCTATGTTCGTTACTAGATTTATTGGGAGATATAAAGTATCATGACACCCACCAAACTTCGAGCCTCGGCTAATCCAACTCCCACTTAATGAAGTCCGAATAGTGCAATCGAAGGCCGAGGGACGACTTTTATTAAGCTGTTCATTGTTTTCTTTCATTAAATTTCGTTTTCGCAATTTAAATATCTAGGAAAAATATGTTTTCTCTGTTAGATTGTTATCTCTTCCTAGTTTTTACTATTTAATCTCAAGAGATAGCTTTGCCATCATTTTTGTTTTTTTTATAATTAAATAAAATTGGTGGAGTTTCTCTCAAGTTGGTCAATTAATCTCCGTTCTCACACTTTGATAGGCAAGGGGTGGGTGTTGACCACTCTGAGGTGGGGGAATGGATGGGCATGGAAAAGGGATAAAAAAAAACTATTAATGAGGACTCGAGCGCTAAAGATTGAATATTGAAGACTCAAATGCTAATTTAAGTAAAGATCGAGGACCTCGGTACAAATCTATACTAGCTGAAATATTCATGGCGCAAAAATCGTTAAGCAATTCAATTAGGTCAAGAAATCTCATGCAAGAAATACATATTTTAGCCATTTCATCGAAGACTCTGTTATTGAGACGCCTCTTCCTTCCAACAAATTAATTATCCCTTTACACGATAAGAGCACAACATGAAAATCTCTCTCTCTCTCTACACCTTGAGTGTAATGGCAGTGATCCATGAAACAAGGATCTCGTCATTACAAAGATAAAGAAAGAGGATGCACTCGTTGAATATCACATTTTTCAATCTTTTTTTAACATATTTTTAAATGATCATTTCAAACAATCCAACTGTTACTCCATCTCCAATATCTATGTATAAAAACGCAAACCCTTGTAAAGTCGTAAGCCCCTTAATACTTCATTAAACTTGTAATGATTGTAAATTTCTCCGAAATACTTACACATAGTAATTATGTCGACTACCATCTTCTTCTTGTTCTTGTTCTTTTCTTTCTTCTTGCCTAAGCAACACGCTTTGGCGGACGAAGAATCAAAGGATATCAGTTGGTGGTGCAACACAACCCCTCACCCCGAGCCTTGCAATTACTTCATGGGGCGTAATCCAGAAAGGTCCAAACCTAAATCGCGGGAGGATTTCAGAACAATGACGATACGAGTAGCTATGGATCGTGCCCTCTACGCGCAAACTGATGCCCAATCATTAGGACAAGGTTGTCGCAGCAAAAGAAGGTTGGTTGCATTGAGGGATTGTCGTAATCTCATTGATGATACGATTATCCAATTGAATAGTACCCTACAAGGCATCCAGACCAATAACAGTTTCACTGATTTTGATGCACAAACCTGGCTAAGTACTGCTCTTACGTACATTGAAACTTGTCACGCAGGATCCCTCGAATTGAATGTGTCAAAATTCATATCCCCTATCGTACCAGGCAATGTTTCAGAGCTTATAAGCAATAGCTTAGCCATTAATGGTGGGTTATTGGATCAGGCACCGGAGCAAACAGATGACGAATTTCCTAGTTGGGTTACTTCTCGTGAAAGAAACTTGTTGACGGATATCCAGTTGGCTTCACGGGCAAATGTGATAGTAGCTAAAGATGGATCAGGAGGTTTCAGGTCAATTCAGGCAGCTATAAATTATGCAACTTCAAGAAGGGTTGGGAATCGGAGGGTAGTTATATACATCAAAAGAGGCGTTTATAGAGAGAATATTGCAATAAGCAGAACGATGAATAAAGTGATGCTGGTTGGTGATGGATTGAGATATACAATAATCACAGGCAGCAGAAGTGTTCCTCAGGGGTTCACGACGTACAGTTCTGCAACTGTTGGTAAGGCTCATTCTCTTGTTAGACCCTAAAACACATGCACCCACAACTTCTTGAATTTCCTCGTCCAAAAGTTTCAACGAAGGAATATATTTGTTTTCAACACACATTCTTAAATAGGTAACAAGTTAGAAGAGAGTACAGTTATTTATTTTAATGTAGTATCCTGCTATATGTCTTTTTTTCAAATGCTTGATATATGCATGGTTTTTAAAAATGAGTATAACGAAACTTTTAAACTGTCGAAAAGATCAAATTTATATATTTAAATTTAATCGTTAGCACCCAACAACAAAGTTTAAAGAAAATGGAATATGGCTTAAATACTATTATATGATTGATTAGATACACGCCCATACATACGTACGTATTAAAATGAGTAACAGATTAAAATTATAGAACTCCAAAATCAATTTTTTATGTATTGAGAGGCCATTTCAATGGATTTGCAAAACATTGAAGAAATTACATCTGCTCATAATTAACATTTTAAAGTCAATGCTATAGATTATTTTTCTATCATAATTGATAAGATCTACTATATGTTATATATTCATTTTTATTTGAAAAAAAAAAAATTGAATTCCATGTTGCTTCTCCATTATATGCTTTCAAATTTGCGATGGATATCTTAGTTCCGTCACTCAAATACTTCGTTTACATAGTTTTTAGCATTCCGATGCATTTACCTGTCACTCATGCCGTGTTTTCTTTCATTATAAGAAATACGAAACAAATTAATAGTTTTTCTACCATTTCTTCCATTTTTAAACCTTTTGGCTAGCTTTAAAAATTACTTTTTGTTTCCAAATTTTTGTTTGGATAAATATTTTTTACAGATGTTTATATAACTTAAATTTAAGCAAAAAGAGTAAATTCTTTTGGGCATACAAATAAATAAATTATTTATTTTAAACTCCCTTGATGCAAAAGAACTAGTTCTAATTCAAAAATCTCTTTGGATTTCATTTTGATTTGTTATGAAATTATTGAATTTTGCTGAAGTGCCCAAAAATTTGACATAGGGGTTGACTGACCCTTAAATTTGCACGTGGGTCCCTCCTAAATTAAAAAATGCCAACCCTCCCATATCTGCGTGTTCGATCATTCCATATGTTCGTGTAGCACGACCCGAAGTTATTTATCAAGAAATGAGTGTTTGAAAATGTAGGTAGAATTTATGGATCCTACCAAACGTGTGGTTAAAATTAATTTTAGTATTTGAAAACTAATTTTTGAATAAAAGAAAATGAAACCTGAACACAGGCTTATAAGAAGCAAACTACTAACTTTTAAAGCATTAAGCCAGCTTAGTTGCTTAAAATGTTGATAAATAGTGTAAGATAAGTTATTCTTTAATTATTATCACAATTACTTCTTTACTATTTAAGTAATCTTTAGGAGATGAAATTAGTTTAGAACACAAGCTAACCTGGAAAATTTTCAAAACTTTTTTCAGGGGTTGATGGAATTGGATTTATTGCCCGTGGCATCACGTTCAGGAACACGGCCGGGCCAAACAACGGTCAGGCAGTCGCCCTCCGGTCAGCCTCCGATCTCTCCGTCTTCTACGCCTGCGGCTTCGAAGGATACCAAGACACGCTTTTTGTCCATGCACAACGTCAATTCTATAAAGCGTGTTACATATATGGCACCATAGACTTCATATTTGGCAATGCTGCTGTAGTTTTCCAAAATTGCATTATTTACGTCAGAAAACCCTTAGTAGGTCAAGCGAATGTAATAACTGCTCAAGGAAGAGGTGACCCTTTTCAGAACACCGGAATTTCGATCCACAACTCGCGGATCACGGCGGCGCAGGACCTTAAACCGGTGGTGGCGCAATTCAAAACCTACCTCGGCCGGCCGTGGCAGCAGTATTCAAGAACTGTAATTCTCAAATCTTTTATTGACAGTTTGGTGACTCCAGATGGGTGGATGAGATGGCAAGACTCAAATTTTGCCTTGTCCACTTTGTACTACGGAGAATACAATAATTTTGGACCGGCGGCGGGCACCAGAAACAGGGTCAAGTGGCCGGGTTATCATGTTATAACTAGTGCAAATGTGGCATCCCAGTTCACTGTTTCGAACCTTATAGCTGGCCGTGGATGGCTGCCGTCCACCGGTGTGCCATTTACTGCGGGACTCTGATCAGATCAGCCTCTTATATTTGCAGTTTATTTTTCTGCAATTTATTTGTTGATTGATTTTGTAAATGTCATGCCATTATGACAATTATTAATTAACACTATTAGAATTTTTTCTCCTTGTCTCAATGTTTATTGTATATTAATTGAAAGGTCACATGCATTATATCATAAAAAAATCATTGAATAAATTTGAAAGGCATCAAGTAACAAGCTAATTAAGCAGAAAAAAATACAAGAAAATCATCGTAAAAAAAATAATTAATCAGTTAAGATTAGGGTTGACGATGAAAAATAATATACAAGACTAAAAATGATCGATGTATTCTGTGGACCCCAAAAAATGCGCTAACAGGATCGTGGTCACTCCCCCTTCGTGTAGATGCCACATGCGCACTTAAAAAACCCCATTAGAAACAAAGGCCGTTCGTCGAGAAAAAAAGGTTCGGAGATCGTTTGCACTCCGACGATCAAGTTAACGATGAACAAGAGATAACATGAGCGTGAGAGAGAGAGAGAGAGAGGAGATTTAGCTAAGATTAGTGTTACTTGCCTTAATTGTGAAATGAGTCACATATATATAATGAAATGAAAATGTCAAGCGATGCCAATGGGTCGAGTCCAAACTCAAAACGAGGTTGCTCGGTTAAATAGACCTAATCCATATTAAATAATCAATGCCAAGTCGATATATGTGGACCCTCTTTGTTTGCATATGCCACGTAATTTATAAGTATTGTTTAGCTCATATTTGATGAGGATTAAAATTAGATTTTTTTGTAGATTTTGATAAAAGTTGATGAGATGTATGGTTGAAAAGTTGTGAGATCATAAAATATGTGGTTAAAATTAATTGTTGACTTTGACTTCAATTAAAATCTAGATTTTAATATCTACCAAACAATGGCTCAATGCTTGTTCTGGATTGGCCCCTGTATTTTTTTAGTTGTGGAAGATGATTTTCCCCTTTTTTCTATATTCTTTTATTTTAAAGTGGACCCATTTGAAATTCTTGAAAAGTTCCGCTGCAATTTTTCCTTCACCTTTTGGTTTTGTTACTTTCTTTCCTTTTTATTTATTTAAAGAGGGCAAATTTGTTACTTTATGCAATCTTTACGGTCAAATTGGACGAAATGACGAACTTTGCAAATTTCTAAACTTTAGGGACGTGTCGTACAAAAAAAAATTGGGATATATCATCTACTTTGCTCAAAGGTTGGGGACAAAATGCACAAAAAAAACTCTTAATAAAATAAAGTAATAATTTTCAAAACACTTAACTTTAAATTGTAAAACGAACTATTTTTCAGCTTTTAAAAGTTAAAATAGCACCTAGGACTATTTGTTTAAAAAATTAAGATTTTTGAGAAAGAATTTTTTGTATTAATTTATCCTTTATCTTCAAATACTCATCACCTAAAAGTCAAATTTATTTTTTACCTCATCTAACACCAACTAATTAAACACACAAGCTTATGCTAATAAGTCTATACCTCGTATCTTAATTCTTGGGAAAATTAAGAAAAACTAGGCATTAAGTATTTACTTTTTAAAAATCAGGTTTTCACCCTTTTTTTTAATTTATCAGGTTTTTTATCTTTAAAAAAAAAAAGATTTTTTTTATCATTTTAATTGACTAATTAACTCTTTAAAACCTAATTTTATCATTTTATCCCACACAACCCTCCCTCACTCTCACCAC